GAGGGTAAGCCCTCGGGCAAATCTCTTTTGTACTTCTCACAAGCCAGCCTTTATACATTTACTTTAGTTATCTAGAATGTTCTATTACTGTTTATAGCGTATTACAAGTTGTACTATTTTTGGAAACTGCTGAGTCACATGAAAGAAGTTTCTGGAATATTATAGATTATAGATAATTCTAGAAAAGTCTGGGATTGCATGACAGATTCAGTAAAAATAATTCGATCCTCGTAACATGATCATAGGCCAATAAAACCTTTGGTTCTGATACAAATTAAAGAGAAGATTTTGCAAACACAGTAAAAAAAGACCCACTCTTAGAAACAAGGAACTTCAGACGACTTAGGCAACACAGTTTATACAAAATTATTGAAATCCTTGTCATCATTTTGACAGATGGGAGTGGAGAGAGGGTCTTTTTGACTGTTCATGGAGTGAACACAATCAGGATTTTAGTATCACTGCTAGTGGAGATGGTTCAATTCAGATGTGGGATCTCAAAAACCCTAAGGTACATCTTGGAAGCTTAGACCTTTAGAGTCTCTTTGGAAAACTGAGTTGTGGCATATCAAGATAATTTTGGTTAGTTTGGCAATTAAGATCTCTTTGGTTCTGCAAGTCAATTAAGTTAGCTCAGGACTTTGCTTGTGTTTCAGAGAAGAGAACTAGGATCTGACTTATGATGATACGATGAGTGTCAAAGCAGTTGGAAATTAACTCCCTGTGTTTTGTTAAAGGGTCCTATAAAGGTCTGCAAAGAACACAGTGCTGAGGTAGGAAGGACTAAATTAAAAGAATTAGTTATAAATTAAAATGAAAATATTGCTCTTCGGAATGGGGTAGAGTATGATTTTGGTATCCTACATGTTTCTCCTGCTTATATTTTAACACATCACAGTAGATTTAAACCATGTTTACTTTTCTTGCCTGTACTTCTAAAGGTCTATGGTGTGGACTGGAACTGTAATAGACAACTTGATCAATTTTTGAGTGCATCTTGGGATCACAGCATAAAACTGGTAAATAATGGTAATAGGGCTGAGTTGAGTCCAATTTGGTTTGTAATTAGATCTGTGGGTCACAAAATCAGACAGCTATGGAGCTCAAGTCTGATTTGTGAATCATTAGTATGATAACAGACAGTACAACACACCATCCTGTTCCCAATTAATCGAAACTGTGACAAACTAGAAAAACAAACTAGCCATTGGTTACACATTTCATTCAAAAAAGAAAATTGAAGAATAGTGAACTTGGTGAAATGCGTGGCAACAGCATATGCACATGTGTGCTAGCTGTCCAATTACATAGCGACATCAACTGGGGTGTGAGTATCAGTTATGAAACTGTCAAGTTACAAGCATGATGCATAGGTTTTATAAGAGTAGTTATGATGCTAATCTATTCCATGTAAAATTAAAAAATAGCTGTGATATTAAATACTGTTATAGTAACACTTAGTTTATACACTAACTGTAACTTTCTTTCCCAGTGGGATCCGAATGGAGCCCAATCTCTAGCTACATTTGCTGATCATCAGCATGTAGTTTACAGTGCAGTGTGGTCTCCACATGTTTCAAGGACATTTGCTTCTGCTTCAGGTTACTAAAACATCGCATTGTTAGTTGCCCTTCCTGTGATCCATTGCCCATAATGCTAGAAGTTCAGCCTGAGAATTTATTTATAACCCTTTCACCCCAAATATCTCATTTGTGTTGCATTTCTTCTGACATTCATACATACATACATACATACATACATACATACATACATACATACATACATACATAGGTTAATTGACCACTCCCCATCGGAGCTTTTCAGGGCCAACACTCACTCATCCCACCCAAGGGAGGACATCCACACAGTAATCTAATGGGTGAGAAATTAACGTCTCCTACCCCTAACCCTGCAGGAGACAGGCGTACGGTTTGTTCATCCTTATCCGAGAAGACTAGAATATCTATCCATTTCTTGATTATAGAAACTGCCATACAATTCTAAGAGAACTTGATATTTGATCAACTGAAAATCCCCTTGATTTGATATTTTTCTGTATTCTCATTACTTGTCAGCTTGATATTGTATTGGTACTGTGTGGAGAAATTCTTTCTTGGTCACACATGAGAGTTAAAGAGTCAAATTGACCATTGTCTTCTTGGTGGTGGTTTTTTTGCATTTTTCATAAGCTGTCTGTCTGGCCATGTGTTGTTTAAGTAAGAGGAATTAGTTATAAGTCACTCCTAAAATGAAGAAGGCTTACATTGCAAATGAGCAATAACTGGACTCATTAATTTAAAAGTAATTACAGTCGTTAAGAAGTGATCAAAGTGGGATAGAGATGAAGTCCATGGATAGAGAATTTAACCTGTGTTGGCAAGAGTTTGTGTTAGACAGCATAGCAATGATTAAGTACTCTAGAATTAACAAAAAAGAGGACCACCATGTCATTAAGAAAATTAATTTGATTCATGTCCACAAAATTAGTAATTACATGTCAATAATTCTTGAAAACGCTGGACAATTTTGTAGGAGACAACACCCTTAGGATATGGGACATATCAGCCCCTCCACGTGCTCAACAGACCATTAGGGCTCATGATGGGGAGGTCCTCACTTGTGACTGGGCCAAATATGATGTGGTAAGGGTCACAATTGACATACCAGTACCTGTACTTAATTAGGGACAGCAACTGTTAGGGGAAGGGTAGTTCTAACTTAGTTTATGTGTACATTTATCTCAAGAAAATAGCTCCAGTGGTCATTCTAATAGTATACAGTGTGTGTGTACAGTACAGTAGGACTGTGTTCTGAGTTTTGTTTGTCTCAGGTGCTGTGGGAGAGATGACTGATGATAATTATTAGTTCTATGTATGTCTGTGATCATTTGCAACTGAATGTACCAATTTCCTTCATTGGGATACAGTTTATTAACAAAATGTTCATTCTTTGTTTTCAATGCACATGCAGTAGTATTAAAGATGACTCCTAACAATGAACATAGTCAATGTTTATCATATTAATTGAATACTTAACAATATAAAGGAATGTTTCACTTAATTGTCTGACATTTTTTTGTATCTTTTGGAGAATTTAGTGGTGACTGGATCAGTGGATACAAAAATCAGGTACCAATTTGGTAATATCATTTATAAAAAAATTATTTTTTGCAGTTGTTGGACATAGTTCTGTGAGACAGCATAAATTGAATTATAGAATAGATGATTAATTAACTTTTTTGATAATAGTTTTATAAATATTTTTGGTGGAATTTTAGTCAGTAAAAGTTATATGTACATACACCTTGTCAATTCATGTCGTAATGGTTGTCTTTCCTCCAATATATAGAGGTTGGGATCTGAGAAACATAACCGCACCTGTGTTTACACTAGAAGGCCACCAGTATGCAGTAAGACGAGTGAAGGTAAGAACCACTTTTAACCAGTTTGCAGGTGGGAAGGAAAGGTTTAGCCTAAATACCACTCCCTTTTACTAAGACAGCAATCCTACTTGCAACTACTTCAGTCACTATGGTGAGGAGTAAAACATTTTGTCTAATTTTTGGAAAACTGGCCAAATTGGCAACATGCCTTTGGCTGTCACAGAATGTTTTATTCTCTGGTGTGTAATTTTCCCTGGCAATCCTGCAACCCTTAGCTCATAAATTTTAAAATCTAACTGGCAAGTTTGATAATTAATTTCTCACTCAGTCACCCTGTAAGCCTCATATTTGGAAGGAGGGTCCTACCTTATTCTCTGAAATATTGAACTTTGTATTGAACTTGTTTTAGGTCTTTCTTTTTGAAATTGATTATTTGTCATTTTCATTGCTACTTTCAATCAAGAACAGTACTATCTCTTGGTGCAAAGTGACACTGAGGTCTTCAATCCCTTGGGATAAAGAAAGCTGACTATTAACAATAATAATAATAATAATAATAAAGGTCTTTATTAAGAACTATTGTGCAAACAGATGTGCAACAATTAACATGAATAGAATGAATAAGGAAAAAGAAAAGGTATTAATTACTATTGAAAAGACATCTATTAATAAAAACTGATTTAAAATGGCTTGTCTGAAAATTAGGTAAAATATAATTATGCGACGTAGTTCTCAACTGCAACCTAGTTCTCATTAATTCTAATTCTGCTCAAACAACTGTTACAAACAGTAGCTTAAATAAGATGATACTGTAGAATGATATAAAAGTCATGTAAAAGTAGTGGTCCTTCCGTTATCAACAGGCTTTCCTGATTAGTGTACACAGTTATATGTATGAACATCTTCCAAATATGTTTTCATATCAAGAAGACTTACTGTATTATCAGGGTTGATAACAAAAATTTATCACTTCATCTATTATTTCTCATCAGTGCTCTCCCCATAATGGCACCTTACTGGCATCTTGCTCCTATGACTTTACAGTTCGAACTTGGAACATTGCCAACGGAACATGTCCATTAGAGACTACAGAACACCACACAGAATTTGTTCTGGGATTAGATTTCAATCTTCATCTTCCAGGACAGGTAATTTTTACATTAAAAAAAATATATCTTGACATATTAGTGATAATGAGACCAATAATTTGCCAAAGTCCAGGCCTGCAGTAAAGATCTTGTGATCTAGAAGACATTGCTGTATCGTGATTATTTCCAGAAGGATATGAGCTTGTGTTGTTGCCAAGTATTTGGAGAGGCAAGAGGGTTAAGTCTCCGAAGAAACCATGGTGGTTATTGGTACTACAAGATAATTTGGTTTTATTAACTGAGTTGATACATGTAATTATAGTAACTATAAATCAACCACCATAAAGAGTCTCTGAAGGCAATGTTTCACATGTTAGTCCTTCATCAGAGCGCTCTGATGAACTGCAAAGTGCTAGCTTTAATACTCTGCAATGGCAAATTTTACATTATCAATTCAGTTGAGGTGTTGAACTTGGCTTCATTCATAGAGGGGATTTTAAAAAAAGAATGACCCTGTGAACAGTTAAAACTATGGCAAAGAGTACTGGTCATGATCAATTTAGGCAGATTTTCCTCTAATTCTTCTTCCATGTTATAGATTGCTGACTGTTCATGGAATGAAAAAGTGAAAATACACTCTCCACCTTCTCTGCTGTAAAGATGACTATCATGAAATGACTAACTGATACAGTAGATTGTAATTTAAAAAGTTTCTTCAGTGATACACTCTTACATGACAAAATATCTTTATTAGCCCAATCTACTACTTTCTTTAATTATTTATGTGAGAACAATTTGCTTACAATGATATGAAACTTAACTCTTGGTTTTGTTCATTGATGATTTATATTCCATGAGCAGGGCATTATGCATCAGATCCAATATTTTGCTCTACACAATGTAATTTTCCCTTACTTGTAAATAATTCTATGATATGAAATATTTTGTCCAACATAAAATACATTTGAGACAATTTTCTAAAATTCTTATATTTGAAATGCAAGAATTACTACAGTACAACCATAATGGTCTGAAGTGTTGTTGCTTGCCTGTAAACTGAATATAGATTGAATTACATTTAATGTGTTTTAGACAAATACTTATACATGTATGTTATCTGCAAGTATTTTACACAAAATATGACATCACTCACATGTCGAATTCCACACAAAAATAACATCTACATGTATACCAGAAATTTAAAATAATTAGCACTGACAGTGACTAATTATCCGTCCTGCACTGGCCAACATCTCCCAGAGATTGGGTACAAATATTATATATAGAACACACAATTTAAAACAATTTTCAATGATACAGTAAATAATTTTGCAATTCAGGGAACCAGTAACTGTACATGTGGGAATAAAGAATTAATTTGTCAAAATTTCCCAGTGAAATAAATTTAGAGTTGTTTCAACATTGAAATATCAATTATATTGATATGTATTTTAATTTTTCAAAGAAATAAAGATTTACTTATAAACTTTATAAGAATACTTTGCCCCAAGTAAAGAAAATCCAAGACTAGCATTGGCACTATGATTAGGATTTTACTCCAGAATTGTGTGGATAGTGGTAAATGCTTGTCTTGAACATGCTTAGATGCTAGCCAAAACAGTTGGCTAGCATCTAATCTTTCCTTTTATTTGAACTCCAAGCTTTCACTCCTACAATCCATTAGAAATTCTCCTTACTGTCTGCCATACAACTCTTATGATGTTAGTTTGGAGAATTCAGCTTTAGATCGACTATTCTCATCACTTGTCTGCTTAAATTAATGCTCCCTATTTTTAACCATTCTCATCCCTTCTACCCTTTGTTTCCAAACGAGTAAGTGATATCCTTTTTAAAGATATGATCATAATACTCTGACTTTTATGGCATAAAATATTTGGAAATGGCTCTTTGTAAAATGGATGAAATCAAAAGCATACTGCCATATGTAGTTCTCACTGCTCTTTCTTCTCCCTTTTGTTTACTCTGGGTCTATCAGGTGGGAAGAGTACCATGATAACAACACCCATGCCTGCTATAAGGGAACCAATGCAACCAGGCCCATAAACACTAACCTCCTGAGCAAACCCACCTAAAGCAGGAGAAATCATTCGTGCAAATGACAGTAATGAGTTCCCTATCCCTAACATGACACCTTTCTCATCCTCCCTGCCCCTGCGGAAAGTCAGATTAGTTGTGCAGACACGGCAGACTGCACTCGAGATTGCCAGTGGCGTAATGAAGATTGGAATAAACAATATGCTGGGTGAAAATGTTATGCCTAGAAGTGATGCCATAAGAATTAGTGAGAAGTGAAGTTGCATCTTTGCATCATTGTGATTGTACAATTTTGCTATCTTTCCCACTAGAATTCCAGAAAAACCACCAACTAGACCATTGTAAGACATAATATAGCCATTGGTTTTTGGACTAGTATTGAAGTGGAACTCTAACATGGAGGTGAAATTGCTGCGAAAGACTAGCATCGAAAATCCCATCACAAAACGAATTACTATCAAATCTAGTGATGAACTCAATGAAGAAATTTTGCATATACTTGTTCCATTGGATGTGGAGGTGCCTGCT